TATATATATATATATATATATATATATATATATATATATATATATATATATATATATATATATATATATATATATATATATATATATAACATAAAACACTTGGTCAAGTAAAAACCTAAATAAAAAGCATTTAGATATACGACAATATTACAATGGTGACGAGAATAAAAGTTTTAAACATAGATGAGTCAGAAGAAGGTTCAAATTCAGCAGCAGTAGCGAGTTCAATAACAACGCCAACTCCAATGTCTGCCGTAAACAACATCCCTCGAAGTGGTTTGCCGCCGTTTGCGCAGTTTATCCGCACAGCGTCGAGCAAGTCTTGCCGTAGGATGGAAGAAATGGTCTCGAAAATTCGAAAATCTGTTGATTAGCTTACGAGAGTTCAACCCAGTTGTTAGACGTGGTCTATTACTCACATATGTCGGAGAGGCGACAAATGACATATTTGACACGTAGCCTACGTTTCCTGACACGGGAACAAACTACGATAGCGCTTTGAAGAGTTCAACCGAATACTTTGACCCTGTACGAAATCGAGACATGGCAATCTACGAATTTAGACAGATAAAACAAGATACTAGCGAAACAATCAACAATTTGTATGGAAGGTTCAAAGAAAAAGCAGATATCTGTGAGTTTAACGACGTAGACTCTGAAATCAGAACTCAAATTATTCATACAACGTTTGACTCGAGATTACGGTGAAAACCGCTTCGAACTAGATTTAAAAGCTCTTCTCGCATATGGTTGGATGTTGGAATGACATGAATGATAAATTACTTAAACAAAATCGGCAGTCTAACCAATCAACCAACCACCTTTCAGATCAACCTCGCCATCGAAAACCACAACGCCGTTTCCAAGCACGTCAAAACAACGATGCCGATCACGTAAACAAAGAGAGCACAATCAAAGTTCAAGAAAGTGTCGCAATTGTGGAGGACCCTTCACGCACAAAGAAGGAAAGTTGTCATGCTCAGCTAGAAGAAAAATGTCATGCATATGCGAAATTAGGACATTTTGCAAAACATTGTTTGTCAAAAGCACAACAAAATTACCAAGGTCAGAGACAAAGTTCCAGGCATGAAGTAAATGAAGTCACGTAAACACGTCAGGACTATCTCGACGATACAGATGAAGAATTTGCCTATGTAATAAACTCAAGCACTAATCCACCAGAGACAAGAATCACAGTCGAAAATGGTGCGTTCAAAGTTATCGTGGATAAGTTGGCTTTCAAAGAAATGCAAAAAAAGAATCCAAACATCCGGGTACAATCCTCACATAAGAAGGTCTTTCCGTACGAAACAAATACCCCTCTAGAATTAATCGGTGAATTCGAAGCCCAAATCACAGCAAGTTCAGGTACAACACAAGGTACATTTCTCGTCACAAATACGAACAGTACATGTCTGATCATGATCAGCTACAAAAAATCCATCGCTCTTGGATTACTCAGTCTGAAAGTTTGTAGTGTCTCTGTCGATCATCTTGATCCAGATGTATCAGCAGTATTAAATAAGCACAAAAAGGTATTCGAAGGAATGGTAATCTCGAAGACAATGAAGTTAAATTGGAAATTGATCCTGACGTTCAGCCAGTCGCTCAAAAAGCAAGGCGTATTCCGTACAGCATGAAAGTTCAAGTAAACAGAAAGTTTCGCGAAATGGAAGAACAAGGTATAATAGAGAAAGCAGAAAGAGCAACACTGTGGCTCTCACCGCTGATTGCGATACCCAAGAAAGCAGGAGATGTTCGCTTGGTCCTAGACATGCGAATCCCAAATCAAACACTTGTTCGCCGCCGCG